CTTCCTACACCCTACCCCAGTGATGTGAATCATCCAAGCTACTTTTGTTCCCTTTGATAGAGCATAGAGTTCCCAAATGGACACAGGCCCCCACTTACCCTAGTCTCAGACTGCTTTACTCATGTAAGCTACCAGTGTGGACCCTGTAAACATCTAAGTTTGTCATTCCTGGCCAAGATACGTCTTTCTAGCTATAAATTTACTGTGAGTCTAGACTTTCATATAGATGAAAAGCTTTCCCCAAGTGCAGACAAAAAGATACTATATAATTAAAAGCCAAGTAACAATCTGAAACAAGGGTCTCCCTATGAACAGGAGAGGTTTAATTTCTATGATATACAATGTATACAACTGCAAGGAATGACAATGATGACGTGATTAGATGATCTTTTCCCTCACCTGTGCCTCCCGGCAGGCCAAAAACCAAGGAAATCTAAAATGTGAAGAAACAAGTAGAACATATGCTGGGCATCTGAGCAGGCTCTTAACTTTCTGACTAAACCATGCCTTGTGACAGAGGCCTCACTACCAACAATAACAGGTTGTCATGTGTCCTGTACAAAGCCTGTCCTCAAGTGGGCAGAAAGTCCTCCAAAAGCCATGGCCCAAATTCAAAACAAAGGCCCCCCTTTACAAGGTGACAAAGGAAAAGAGCTGAATGACTTAGAGTTAGGACCTAGCATGAAAAAGATGGCCTACCACAGGGATGGGATTAGCTACTTAGAGATACAATCATACCCCATCAGTCTGCTTTCACTCCCCAGGGAAGAAATCAGCCAGGGAAAGCAGCTGAAGATGTCAACAGCCAGCTGTGGATTGATGTTCACCACTTAACCTCACCAACTGCTGGGAGGGTGCATTAATTCTTCCATTACTCTTGTGAAGCAACAGCCTAACCCCATTTCCTTTTACTGGTGACTCAACAGCTGGCCCCTAAGATTCCATGGTACTCCCCTTTAGAGATCTGAAGACCATTCAACTATTACTAAAACAAACAAAAAGGTTCACAATGAATAAATGCTCATTCTGAATACAATCTGAAGCAACATGGAATACTATCTCAGTTTCTCAAATAAACATTCGTATAGTAGATAGAATATTGGAGCTCTAAGTTATGATGTAGGCTCTGTCATTAATGCTCCTGGTCTATTATTACAGTCTTTAGTGTAGACTTGTGCTATCCCCAGTTGAGAAGACAAACAATCTGAGAACACACACACACATGTACACACATACAGAATGGAATTATGAACACTAGAAGAGGCAGAAATCTAAGTGGGTAGTAGACACAGATACCCAGCAATTTCTTGTACAGCAGCCAAAATGGTATCATAACCTATTTACAAGTATCCAGTATACCACAGGTTACAAAGGATTTTCATAAGACTCAATAATCCCTATTTTATAAGGGAGAAAACTGGGCTTCAAAGATACATAGGAAGCTGTGTAAGCTGCACATCTAATAGCAGAACTGAGGCAAGAATCTGGGTTTCTCAGACTCCACTTGGGTTTTAACCTGATTAATAAGTAGTGTTAGCTTGGACAGAACCACACTAAGCACCCTTCATTATCTATCCTGGGATGAGTTGTTCACACAGAAATGGGACTTCCAGGTAGGGAATGTAGATGTCCTGCTATGTCAGTGACCAATTTGCTCCAATGATCTACAAAGATGTCCAGTTGCTGTGCAGTTAAGGGGAAAGTCCTTTCTCTGCTAATATACTTGCATGTTAAATGCCAAAAAACCTAGTAATGATGTTCTCAAGGAGCTACTGAATCTCAGCTGCTCAAAGTGGGAACCAGAGAGCTCTGCTATAGCATATAGGTACAACATCCAGGAAATCATGCATCTACCTACCAACTACATCAGCAGTAATAAAGATTCAGTAGTTCAATGTGAGTCATTTCTATGTTCTACCAGCCATATCACAGCTTGAACAGATTGTACAGAGTGCTTCAGAGATGAAGAAGAAAATAAAATCCCATTATCATATACCAAATGCTTGGAAGACCTAGAACTCAGGTTTCTCATTTTCTAATATAGTTAGCACTGTTTCCACAATACCATTTTACCCCCAAAGAAAATCAATGTAGAATAATGGAGATAGCAATTTTATTTTTAAATATCTGCTAGAAAAGAGCCTCCGTAATCTCCATTATTCAATCCCTTAAGTGTCACACAATCTTACCAGAAATGCAAACCTAAACATAAATAGTCATTCATGAGAACTGAAAGGTCTACCTTGAAGCCAACATTCATATCATTCATGCAACAGCCTAACCCCATTTCCTTTTACTGGTGACTCAACAGCTGGCCCCTAAGATTCCATGGTACTCCCCTTTAGAGATCTGAAGACCATTCAACTATTACTAAAACAAACAAAAAGGTTCACAATGAATAAATGCTCATTCTGAATACAATCTGAAGCAACATGGAATACTATCTCAGTTTCTCAAATAAACATTCGTATAGTAGATAGAATATTGGAGCTCTAAGTTATGATGTAGGCTCTGTCATTAATGCTCCTGGTCTATTATTACAGTCTTTAGTGTAGACTTGTGCTATCTTACACAGTAGCAACTAGCCACATGTGGCTAATTGACACTTGAAATATGACCAGTGTGAATTGAGATGCGCTGTGAGTACAGAATAATACATCAGATTTCAAAGACTTACTAAAATATATCACTTACAATTTTCATAGTGATATCATAACACTGGGTTAAGGAAAATACATTAAAATTAATCTCACCTATATCCTTTTTACTTTTTTCAGTGTGGTTACTAGGAAAAGTTAAATTGTATTCATGGTTTGCATTTGTGGCTCACATTGTATTTCTATTGGACTGTGCTGATTTAGACCAGTGGTTCTCAACAGCAAAAATTCTGATTTAACTAGCCTGGAGCCTGGATTTTAGTGCTTTGGGGTTTTTTTAAGCTACCCAAGTGATTTATTTCATTATATACCCAGGATTGAGAACCACTAGGCTAGACTCTATGCCAAGCGTTCCTGGGCCATCTAGTGGTCTTCTCAAAGGTCAGCTTCAGCCCACTCAAGTGACTACTGGGGCTGTATGGTTGAGGAAACACTCTTCCTGGCCTTGGATGTAGCAGCATTAATGCCAGTTCATTGATATTCTAAAGCTTGGCACAGCCATTTGATTCCCTGAGCCACTGTGCTTTACTTAATTATTTTGCCCCACACCTTGATTTACTATTTATTATAAAAATGACATTTCCCTGAAAGTGAAATATATGTGGATTTGGGTGATATTGTTGCTGAGTGAAGTTTACTCCTTCTTTTAAAGAGGGGGACTGTCAGTAAAAGAACATTAACTGTCTGTGTACAGGGCCTCACACTAGGCTCAAAGGTCCATGATTATTGATGTGTTCTTTCTGACTACCCTGGGACTGATTCATCAACCAGCATAGCTGAGCGGGACACAGATGGCATATGAAGAATATGAAGAAAGATGCCAAAAATGTAGAGGAAAAAAGGATTGGATATTTCATTAGAAGATTCTCACCATGGTAGGAGATGGGAGGTCATTTTGTCCACCTCCTTGCATCTGAGAAGTGCCCTCACCTAAATCGTTCTAACCAGGTAACAGTGCTTCCTGGGTTTATAGCCCTCCAAGGAAGGAGGCTTCTGTCAACCATTATAGCCAGCCTTGATACATGGGCCTTCTTGGAGCTAATAAGGTGGTGATGGTGATGAGGAGGAGGATAATGATGATAAGGCAAGTTACCATTTGCCAAGTACCCATTGTGTGCCAAGTACCATGCTAGATACTTTACTCACATATGTCATGTCATTTAATCCTCCGAAAAGTCTGCGATCCCTATTTTTCAGATGAGAAAATGGAGGCTCAAGGAAATGAAAAGTCTTGTCAAAAGCTATAGGGCTAGCAGGTAGTAAAACTGAGACTGCATCTCAGGTTGTTTGATTCCAAATGCCCTGTTTCGTCCCTCATGTCATACTGCCATCATTCTAATCCAGAGGCCCTTTATCCCAAAGGCCCAAGTCATTTGACCCTTTGTTTGGGGTCAGGACTTCAGCCTTATCTTATAGAAGAAACTAACAAAAGGTAACAGGCTGTTGCAAGGATGGCCATAAGACACCCTGTTGTGGCTTTGGTACTTTTATTGCCACATAGCTGTTTTCACGTATATTATATCATTCCTTGTGATATCCCCTCCCATGAAAGAATTGTCAACACCATTTTATGGATGAGGAAAATCAGAGCTCACAATTGCCAGAGCTGGTTCCGGCTTGTAACTCTATGAAAGGCCAAGAGCTGGAACACCAGGCCAATGTCCTTCTCTCATAGCATCCTGCTAATTGGTGGCCCAGAGGAAGCAGAAACTACTAAGGAGTCCCCTCCCAAGAGCCCCTTCTTTTAAGGGCCAGGTTTTTCATGGTGCAGTGTCAAACGGACCAAGGCCCTACAAGCCCTATCAGGCTGCCTGATTTCCACCTTGAGCACATCATAGATCCCAGCCACCTGACTCTCTTGCAAAAAGTAAGATTTACAATCAGTTCATACTTCCTTAACTGAGAGAAAGGAGGCAAAGGAAGCAAAGAGGAGTAGGGAGGGGATGGGAAGGGAGATATCGATAAAAATAAATGATAAAAAAGAGGGACAAGGAAAAGAAAGAAGAAAAGAAGAGAGATAAGAAACGTAAAAGTTCACAGGAGTATACAGTTTTTGAAAGGTCTTCAAAAACCATCAAGGTCAAAAGGGAAGTCACAGTGGGTAGGAAGCAGGAGGCAGGAGATGGGGGGTGTTAAAATAAACAGACAGAAAGGAAAACTCTCAAAATTAGAAGAGCAAAGATGAAAGGAAGCCCAGGTCCTTGGTATGAGACCAAAAAAATGGGAAAAGAATGAGAGAAAAGCCAACAGGAGAGGAATAAGTATGAGAATAGGGGCTGGTTGGGGGAAGCCAGGGGCAGGCAGCCAAGGAGACAGGAGAGGAGTGTGAAGGCTGACACTCACCCTCACAAAGCTGGCAGGAAACCATCCCTCCTCATCGTCGATCTGGCCCCACCACCAATCCTTGTTGGAAGCATCCAAGACTTTGATGATGTCGCCAGCCTTAAATGCCAACTCCCGGTTGGCCATGGTGACGTGATCCCATACTGCCTCAGCACTAACGATGGAATCTCCAGTGATCAGCTTAGGAGACAAAATGAGAATGTGTTCAGTCCACACAGTTGGCTATCTTACTTGCTTGCCCTTCCCACCCACAGAGCTCTACTATTTATGGAAAACCTCACATAGTACTGGTGAAGGGCTGGGGAGAGGGAGATGGCATTGGGAGCACAAGCTCCACTGGACCACAAGACAAACAATATGGTCAACTCTTCATTAGCTAGTGGGTGATATGATCAAGAATGTAAATATATACTACATAAGCATCATGCTTTTATCCCTACTCATGAGCTCCTTCCCCCTGAGAAGAAAGCATGCTCCAGTCCATTTCTCCTTGTGCTTCAAGGCAGCCCTGGGCCTGGAATGGGTGGAGAGACTAAAATCAGTGGCTAAAATGAAGCTTGAGTATATTTGCTCCAAATTCTCTGTATTTTTCCCCCCTTTCCTCCTCCTCCTTGGAACTGACCAATTGAGAGTTGGTGGTACGTTATTTAACACTACTGTACCCCACCCCCAGGGGTTACAGACCATGGTATTCCTCACACACAATGGACCCCAGTCCTGCCTCCTTTTCTCACCCACACATTGTGCCATCCAGAAAGGATATGCATATGAAAGAATATGGCTTTTGGTGATGCTGTGCTCCCAGGAAACTCAAATTTTGGCAAAGATTCACTCAGTGATTTGTACAACCACCCTGTGATAATATATAAGGGTTCTAGTTTGATTTCTGCTTTTGACAAATGGAAAAACTGAGCCACGAGGAAGAAGGAAGTAAGGCAGAAGCTGTGCATAAACCCTAACTCTGGTCATTAGACTTCACAGCCAGCAGGATTGGGCTCCACAGAGCATCAGGCAGACATCTATCCCAATGCCATATGAACACTCACACACCATGTTCACGACACTTGTCTAAGCACAGTGATCAGTGGGGTAATACTCTGCCTCTCTCTGGCTACCATCTTACCACTATATTATTTGTTCTCTTTATTCCCCAACTTGTTCCAGCCTATATGGGCCATCAATCTTCCTGGCGTTTAGAGAAACAGATTCCAGAGCATAGAATATATGACCCGTCAGGCAAAGGACTCAAGCACTCTCTCCTCAGTACTGAATTACTGAACATGCCCTCTAGAAGTGAGCTTTTCCATCAGTACACTTTGAGGAAGGATTGATTCTCCAAGGCAATCATGGCTCCACAAGACCAAAGACAAAACAGTTCAAAGACAACAGAGACAGAATATGGAACATACATCCTCTTGTACAGGTCTACCTTTCACATATCAGCTGGAAAATAAACCTAGGGTCATGAAAAACCTGTAACATACCACACACATATGAAAACTCACATGCACACATCTTTTGACTTAGTTAAGGCACTCTGTTGGTCAGCCCCTGCATGAGGCATCCTTCATTGCCCAGGGTTTTAGCCATTATGCCTTCCACAGAAAGCAAGGCATAGAGGGAACTCCTGCACATGGATGCAAAAGAGATTTCCAATAGAATCTTTTATAACACCACCTTCAAGTATCTCATGCTTTACTGTTTACAAAATGTTTTCATATTTACTGTACCACTCGATCCTTTCTGAATCAGGTGGGTCTCACTATTACCCATATTTTAAAAGTGAAGAAACTGAGGCTGGGAGAAGTGACCTGTCCTTTGGCGAATCACACAAATAAATTATAGAGCCTGTTTTCTGACTGTATATGCTCTAATAGTCATCATACCATACTACCAATGTCTACTCATTAGCTATACTGAACTCACAGAACTCCATCCATAACACAATATACCAGATGGCTCCTATTTTTAAGAACCCCAAAGAAGATATGGACAGCCATCTTAAGTCACCAGTGCCCCTGCCTATGAGGAGACTCATTTTTATGTTGAACTTGCTTTCTTCCAATTACCCTAAAGGTCAATTTTAGTGGAGAAGAATTTCTGGTCACTGGCCTCAATAAAATAAATCTTTACAGAAAAGTCTCCCCTCTCCTGCCAAGATAGGTCCCAACTGGGTGTTGCTAAAGCTCAATAAGTACATATAGCACCAACTCAGAGCACCATGAGGGCTTGCAGTTTAAAGCTATAACCTTGGCTTTTTTTTTCAAGTGTCAAGAGCATCTTGGCATCAATTACCAACTCTCTGCTCAGGACTCTATCTGTAATGCCGTCTGAGGTCCCTTAGGCCAAGGTCTGACTGATTCTACTACTCACACTCTTTCTACAGTGCAGTCTTCTATTTAGGGACTACATGCTTGACTTCTCCCAACAGCAGTTGGCTCACTCTTATCCTCATTTAGTACAGCTGACCTGCCTGGGCCCTCAAGTCACAGAGCCTAGCTATAACCTAGACAAGGTGGCCACAGAACTCAGTGGCCACAAACCAACTGGCAAGGCTATTGACAGGGCCTACTTGGAATTAATGACAGAACTGGGCAGCACTTCAAAGGTCATAACTCTGAAGTCCTTATTTTATAGATCAGATATAAAATAGCAGGAGTGACTTGCCTACAGTCAGTCACCAGCCTCCTGGACCATTCTTTTCCTCTCAACATAACACCATAGACAGCGAGGGTACAGAAAGAGCACCTGGATTTAAGACCTTGCTCTACTACTTGCTAAAAGTGTAATGATAATGATGATGATATAAGTTAATATAGAGTACTTACTATATGTCAGACAGTATTCTAAACACTTTACACGCATTAACTCATTTAAGCCTCACAGCAGCCCTTACAGGAAATACTATTATTATTCCTATCTTATGGATGAGCAAACTGAAGCTCAGAGACCTTAAATCATTTGCCCAAATTCACATAGCCTATAAAAATTGAAGACATAATTCAAACGCAGGCACAGTCTGGCTCTAGAGTCTCTGCTCTTAAACCATGCTGTCTCTGGATCTCAGTTTCTTCATCTGTTAAATGGGGATATTTCTACACCCCCAGCTGCTTCATGAGCAACTAAACAGTTGTATGCAGATACGAAAGGAGGGATAATCCAGAAGGGATTGGTAGCTGTATGGGGCTTCTGTGCTCTCTAGTTGTAAATACAAGCAGGAACAAGGAGATGCTTCTACCCCATCCTCCAAGTTGTTTTAAAAGCAAACTAAATTTGGGCTGGAAATTGGTTTAGCATCTCCCTTGTGTGCACAGGGTTGACTTTTAGCTTGCTATAGTTGTTTCATAAATAAGCACTTTTCTCTGTTCATCCATTTGCCACCCAACACTCATTCAGTGGGCTCCCACTATATGCAGGGATATGCTTACTGTGATTCAGCCACAGTCCTTACTTGAAGATCAAAGGCCTTTCTGATACAAACAGTGAATTCCTTTCAAGCAATATGTAAACGTGATTGAGGGCAGGCAAACCTAGTTTCAGTTCTGGGTTTACTACTTTAGAAAGCAGCAGTGACAATGTAAGAAACAGAATAGGGGCCAGAGAAATCAAACAAAATGGAACTGTCCTCATGTAATTAGGATACCAAGGAGTACAGTATCACAAAAGGCAAGGACAAGAGTTTTGAGCTATACAATCTTGGGTCTCAGTTTCTTCATATGCAAAGTTGGGATAATAATACCTGCCTCAGAGGATTGTAGAAAGTATGAACTGAACACTAGATTTACAGTGCATGGTATATGCTGACATAGTTTAAGACATCAAAGGAAGGAAGTACCATGTGTGGCTACTAGGCTCTAGAACTATTTATGGGGCACTGAAGATAGACCTTAAAGAATGGATAAGTTTGTAACAAATGGAGAAGGAATAGGAAAGGCATTTGAGGCAGAGGAAAGATATTAAATAAAGTCTCAGAGGTGAAGAGTAGGGGGAATTTGATGGTAAACAGGTAGTGGAGTTTGGAAAGGGCAGTTGAGGCAGAAAGACATCTGGAAAGGTGGGCTGGAGTCCTGTTTGAAGTTCTTAAATCTATTTTGAGGAAAAGCGGTGTTGGGGGAGGGATTCAATCCTCAGTGTTATCATTAAAGCATGAGGATAAATGATGAGGAAATGCTGGTTTTGGAGGGGAAGAGATAACAATTTTTCTCTTTAATCTGTTGAATGTGGCGGACCAGCAGGCCATGCAGGTAGATTTGAAGCTCAAGAGAGGTCACAGGAGACAGTTACATAGGTTTGGGAATCAATGGTCCAGAAGAAATTGTGAAAACTAAGGAAGCCTGCCCTGGAAGAAAGTGCAAAGAAAGAAGGCTGACAACCTAGGGAAACAGCTACAATGGGAAGAGAAGGAATGAGAAACAAACCAAAATGAAGCTGTGGTCAGCACAATTAGGATACAAAGGAGTATAATCTCACAAAAGCCAAGGACAAGAGTTTCAGGTGGAAGGAACTGATCAAATTATTACATTGTACAGAGCTGTAAGAGGAAGCCAGACAAGAAAAGAGCATTTGGGAGTAGCTATATCAGGGGTTAAACTCTTTATTTCTTAAACTGGTTTAAACCTCTCTCCCCATCAAAAGCCCTAAGGAAGTGGCAGTGTGTTACTTCAGCACAATAGCCAAATAGCTCTTGGTTTTGGGACAGTGCTAATGTGACTTCTATCAAAATAATTCCTAATCCCCAGGCCATTTTAAGTGCAGCACCAAATATAGATTGGCACTTGCTCAGACTTTCCAGTGAGTAGGACACACAGTGTTCTGCACCCCCACACCAAAGGCACTTTTGGACATGAATTAAGAGGATGGGGAGGGGGAAGAGTCATATTATTCTAAAAGAGGAATGAGATCCTATTCCTTTTTATCTAGATTTCCCAAGACAATCCTATTTTCAAATATTCTGTCCCATTGATCCTACAAGTAGATACATCTGTTATCAGAGCCATGTGCCCTTTTGACCAAGAAATATGATTACCATACGCTAGAGGCATTATGAATTTGACTTTTAAGGCTGCTCTCTGTGATGTCAATGTGTGTAACTGTCCAAGGTAACCATTACCATTCCTATTTCCACTAAAGATATTCTGTGAGCTTAACAAAGTAGCCCACAGTCACCTGATCAGTAGGAG